GCCGCTCGTGAACGCGTTGCACTGCATGCCAAGGACCACTTGGAGCCACTTGTCAAACTCGTGGCTGCGCTTGTGGTTGCTCAAGACGGACTGGAGCGGGTTCGTGTACTGGGCGTGGGCCGCGCTCAAGAGCGGCGATGGCAAGTCCGTCAGCCGCACGGGATGCAGTGGCGCCATATTGGACGCAATCTCGTCGGCGTCGTCGCAGCGCAGAATCTGGTCGACGGTCGCCACGAGCAGCGCGTCGCGGTCGTCGACGTCGGGCCACTGCACGTACGCACGCTCGCGCAGCAGGAGCGTGCCCGCAGGAATATCGCATGCCGCATAGTAGCCGCGGCCGCCGCCAAACTCGACCGAGTTGTCGCGAAACTCCATCGGGCCCATAAAGTCGGGTGCCATGTGCGCCCAGAGCGACGGCGTATACTGCGACGGTGTCATGACCGTCGGCGGCGCCGTCGCCGGGTCAGGTGTGAACTGCAGGTGGACCTCCGTGCTCGTCGTCGTCGCCACTGCTGCCTCGTGGTAGCCGTACTCGTCGTCGCTGCTGTCGTCGTCAAAGAGCCCAAAGGCCTTTTGCACGCTGTCGCTACTCGGCGCCGCCATCGCCGCCAAGCCCAAAAATGAAATCGGTGGATATCTCGGGCATCCGGATACTGCAATGATGTATCCGAAATCGATGGGCTTGACACGCAAGATCGCAAAAGCCGGGACAGCTCGGATGATCCGACGAGCCGCGCAGGAATCGTAGACGAGCAAAACTAGTCTGACGTACTAGTGTTCATTGCTGGATTGCACGCTGCCACGATACCAAACCGAATCAAAAACCTCGACTCCATCCTGCACATACCTTCTGCACAGGTCAAACTACTGCGCGTGCTACGCCGCAGGAACACCGCTAGATTGCCCATCGACCCCAGCATCGAACCTGTATCCTACCTAAGCCACAAAGATTAACCACACCCTGCACCAAGAAAAAACGGGGTTAAAGCCACAGACGTATCCGCACAAACTATAATTTTTCCTTTTACGTGCCATTTACTTGGCTTTGCATTTGCCTTGCCTTTTGTTTGCCTTGGTAAAACGCACCGTGAGAAAGAGATATATAGATCAATGCGCCACCTCAACATATGAGCAAGCCCCCGCATGTGCAGGCACGACCCGGCGAGCGAATCATGACACTAGAGCCTGACTGCTCGTCCTAGGTCTTTGCGGTACAGGATAACTCAAAACGCATCGTACTTATTGATATATAGCGCAAGAGAGAGTCATTGGAGTTAGCTCGTCAGGTCGCACGCAGTGAAGAGCACGCAGCTGAGCTTTGCAATGTCGGCCATGAGCGACGCGACCGTGCCATTCGTACCAGCGCCCGCGCCCTTGAGAACAATCGCATCGGGGAACCACTCGGTCGTGAGGGCAAATAAGCTCTCGGTCCCTATGTATTTATAAGCTTGCCGAGAGGTCCATGAAGCCCTTCATCGTCATACATTGCAGACGGTGAAAGCTCGAGTGGCGGTCGTAATGTTCAAGTCCGACACGAATCGCGCCGTCCGCGTCAAGGCGCCCGGTATACATGAGGACGGTATTTGACGCTCTCGAGTCGTTGAGTTGCGCTTCAAAGGCTACCGCACACACACATTTGGCGCCTGCATCCATACGACTGATACCTGCGTCGAGCTGTGGCAAGCCAGCGAAAAACGCAGAAAGCGACAAGTTGTGCATGCTGGGAGGCGTCAGGTCTTGGACGAGCACGGACGCCATGTTGGTCGTGTGGCCGAGCTCGCGCGCGAGGATGAGCATCTTGCGTGCGGCGACACGGCCCTAGCGCAATGAGCTCTCATGCCACGTAGTACCCGTCGCACCGAGAGGTCGTCGCGCGGGTCATCTTCTGTGAGTCCATTCTCGTAGGCCGATACCACGGCCTCACTGAACGGGCTTCCGCTACGCCATCGCGTATGAGCAGGCTGGATGACGAGGATGACGATATACCGGTGCAAGGCGTCCATGATGAAGGCGATGGCGTCGCTGAAGCGACACTCGATGCCCTGAATGTCGTCACCTGTCGCCTTGACGCGGTTGAG